TGAAATGCTTCCTGCGTACCCTCGCCCCCCTCTCAACACCGCGTCAGGAAGGTCTCCCATGGGGTTTTAGTGGGTATGGGGGTTCGTGATTCTTCACGACCCCCGAGTCCCACATACCCCTCACCCTCCCGCCGAGGGTGAGAGGATGCGTAACAGCATTTCCCCATGAAAAAAAAAAAAAGGTCAGGTCAGGACAGATCAGGACAGGTCAGGTTGTTCAAAAGTTGTTCAAAAGTTTTTCAAAAGTTCAAAAGTTGTTCAAAAGATATTCAAAAAAATTATTCAATAATTGTTCAAAAGTTGTTCAAAAATTGTTCAAAAGTTATTCAAATGATGTTCCAAAGTTGTTCAAAAGTTGTTCAAAAGTTGTTCAAAAGTGGTTCAAAAAATGGTTTGAAAGTTGTTCAAAAGTTGTTCAAATGTTGTTCAAAAAATAGTTCAAAAGTTGTGCAAAAGTTGTTCAATAAAATTGTTGAAAGTTGTTCAAAAGTTGTTCAAAAGAATTGTTCAAAGGTTGGTCAAAATTTGTTCAAAAGTTCAAAAGTTGTTCCAAAGCTCAAAAGTTGTTGAAAAGTAGATGAAAAAAATAGTTCAAAAGTTCAAAAGTTGTTCAAAATTTGTTCAAAAAAATTGTTCAAAGATTGTTCAAAAGTTGATCAAAAGTTGTTCAATAGTTGATCAAAAAAATTGATAAAAATTGTTCAAAAAAATTGTTCAAAAGTTGGTCAAAGTTTGTTCAAAAGTTGTTAAAAAAAATTGTTCAAAAGTCAAATCTTAAAAAAAATTGTTAGAATGTTGTCCAAAAGTTGTTCCAAAGTTGTTCAAAAGTTGTTCAAAAGTTGTTCCAAAGATGCTCAAAAGTTGTTGAAAAGTAGTTGAAAAAAATAGTTCAAAAGTTCAAAAGTTGTTCAAAATTTGTTCAAAAAAATTGTTCAAAGGTTGTTCAAAAATTGTCCAAAAAAATTGTTCAAAGGTTGTTCAAAAGTTGATCAAAAGTTGTTCCAAAGATGCTCAAAAGTTGTTGAAAAGTAGTTGAAAAAAATAGTTCAAAAGTTCAAGTTGTTCAAAATTTGTTTAAAAAAATTGTTCTAAAGTTCAAAAGTTGTTCAAAAAAATTTTTTGAATGTTGTTCAAAAGTCCCAAATTTGTTCAAAAGCTGTTCAAAAAAATAGTTCAAAAGTTGTTCAAAAGTTGTTCAAAGGTTGTTCAAAAGTTGTTCAAAAGTTGTTCAAAAGTTGTTCAAAAAAATTGTCCTAAAGTTGTTCAAAAGTTGCTCAAAGGTTGTTAAAAAAATTGTGCAAAGTTGTTCAAAAGTTGTTCAAGAGTTGTTCAAAAGTTGTTCAATAAAATTGTTCAAAAGTTGTTTAAAATTTCAAAAAAATTGTTCAAAAGTTGTTAAAAAAGTTATTCAAAAGTTGTTTAAAAGTTGTTCAAGAGTTATTCAAAAGTTGTTCACTACAATTCCTCAAAAGTTGTAGAAAAGTAGTTCAAAAGTCATTCAAAAAAATTGTTCAAAAGTTGATCAAAAGTTATTCAAAAAAATTGTTCAATAGTTGTTCAAAAGTTGTTCCAAAGTTGTTCAAAAGTTGATCAAAATTTGTTTAAAATTGTTCAAAGAAATTGTTTAAAAGTTGTTCAAAAGTTGTTTATAAAAATTGTTTGAAATTGGTTCAAAAGTTGTTCCAAAGTTGTTGAAGAGTTGTTCAAAAGTTGTACAAAAGTTGTTCGGAAGATGTTCAAAAGTTGTTCAAGGGTTGTAAAGTTTTTCAAAAAAATTGTTCAAAAGTTGTTCCAAAGTTGTTCAAGTTATTCAAACAAATTATTCAAATGTTGTTTAAAAGTTGTTCAAAAGTTGTTCTGAAGTTGTTCAAAAGTTGTACAAGAATTGTTCAAAAGT